CTGTATGAATAATCTTGCCGTTATCTCGGAGATGTTCCTTACATAAGGTAGCACGATTCTCGTTGTTGTCGTTTGATCAGGCTGAGAGGTCGTAGCTTTGTTGTTTAGACATGGCCGGACAAAGCTATGTGGATATCCATTTGGGTGAAATGACCTGAACAGGTATATCTTTTTCCCGCTTCGCCTCAAGAGTGCTGCAATGAAACTGAGACTGTGACAGAGACTGTATTTAAGAGCAAGTAGAATGGTTTCTGTACAACTCTATCGAATTATGAGAAATCAAAAACATTTAGTTGTGAATCGTCAAGGCTTGTGTCTGATCCGTTAATCGTTTATCCTTGTTCGGTTAGGAATTCGTATTGGTGTCACTATTTCCGGGTATAGGTTATATTTTATGCATTGTATGTGCACCGTTTCACAAAAGCACAGGTTTCCAAAATAATCGTCGATACGGGTTTTAAAACACTTCACAGCATCGGCCTCTATTAATCCTTCAGGTAGTGTATTCCATAAGTTTACGATTCTTCGTTCGTTACAAAGCTGTCGTGATACCTTGTTCATGCAGGGGACCCTGAGTTTGTAACGGTGTCCTCGGGTGTTACAGGGTTCCCGCAGGTGAAATATTCACCGCAGTATGGGGAAGTGATGCAAGTGTACTACTCGATGGGTCATAATAAGGTCAATTCTTACTCGGCGGTAGAATAGTGTGTAAAGCCTGAGATTTTCATAACGTTTCTCATACGGGAGCTTTTGTAGACTTGATTTCATTCTAGTTGCGATATGCTGTATTTTCTCCGGCTTTTCAGTTTCTCAATGGGTCATCGGATGGTAAGCTGGGGCACCGTATTCAAAGGTTGGTCTACTGAGCGAGGTGAATAGACGAGGGACAAGTACTTCGGAGCATGTGGAGAAACTGCGTCCTAATGTCCAGAGCATACGAAGTCCCGCACCATACAATTTCTCTGTATGTTCTAATGATCTTATATCATGTCGTGAGAGAACTTCCAAGTCTCTGACAGATGTGTTGGGAGGGAGCAACTGGCCGTCCATGGTGTATGATTGAGTGGCTGGACGTCTGGTGATACTGATGAACTCCGACTTGCTTGCGTTAAGAGGGAGTTGCATTTCAATGAACCACGTTGACAGTCGCTCTAAGTCATGCTGGAGGCGAGCGCAGTCGTCCTGGTTTTCACTGATCCTCCAGATTTTCAAATCATCTGCAAACAGGACACATGGTGACTGGAGCTGCTGCGGAAGATCGTTGATATGAAGAAGAGATAATACTGACCCAAGTACAGTTCCTTGAGGCATGCCACTGGTCGCTGGGAACCAGTATGTCAGGTAGTCATTGAGTTGTACTCTAAACTTTCGTCCCTCAATAAACTTGTATAACCACTGAAGTAACGTGCCACCGATTCCGTATGTCCTCAGTTTACGAAGAAGTACCTCGTGGTTCACTCTGTCAAAGGACTTACTAAAATCGATGTACACCACGTCAACATCCTTCCGTTCGTTGGGAGCTCGTACCCACTGGTGGTTGGCGTTCATTAAGTTGGTGATGCAGGATCGCCCTTTCGTAAAGCCGTGTTGCGCTGGCGTCAATACGTCCATCGACTCGAAGAACGATAGCAGACACTTTTTCACAACCTTCTCGAGCACTTTGGATAGTACCGAAGTCAAACAGATCGGTCTATAGTTCTCTAGTTTACTCGGATCACCACGATTGGGAAGCGGTCTCATTATCGAGCATTTCCAGTCGTTGGGGACAGATCCTTCAGAGAGTGATTTATTGAATAAGTTTGTCACGGCTGGTGAGATGACATTCGATAGGAACTTGAGTATTAGTGGGTGAAGTCCGTTTGGTCCGAGGGCCTTTGCACCATCGAGATTGATGAGTAGCTGATACACTTCGACTGCATCACATTGTAGGCTGTCGAGCAAGACTGGCGCAACCTGTGCCGGTAGTGAAACAGCCGCCGGTTTATTGGGAAATACGGCGAGGAAGTGTGTAGCCAAGGCGTTTGCGCTTGTAATGAGCGTCTCTCCGTCCAAGCTCTCTAAGACCGGTAGGTCGCCTTCAGGTTTCAGTTAACGTTTCAAGTAGGCAAATATTATTTTGGGTGCAAATGTGACCGAGGATGCTAGCTCCTCTTCGAACTGCCAGCGTTTCTTGATCATTGCGACGTTACATAAGTTACGCTGTTTCCTGTACACCGCGTAATCTTCATCACAACCCGAGCTGATGTAGCTATCCCAAACTTTGCGACGCCGTCGCGCTAACTGTCTATATTCCGTATCAAACCAATACGGTTTGACAAGTCCGAATTTGGAATACTTCAGGGGAAAAAACCGAGTACACAGCGAGTTAAACGTCCCTTTCATTAATGACCAACAGGCCTCAAGCGACGCATTCTGTCGTAGTATCCAATCGGTCTGGCATGCGGCTTCGACGAGTCCGGCGAAGTCGGTCTTCCAATAGTTGAATATCCGCTTCCGTTGGTTGTAATACGGGAAAGGCAGTTCTATGCTTGCCACAATGGAGCAGTGATCACTGTCCGTCAGAGGTTCGAGGACTCTAATCACTTTCAGCTTCTGCTTGCAGCTCGTAAACATTAGGTGCAGACCGGGTGCCGAGTGTGGTGTTACGCGCGTCGGTTGGATGACAAGTTGCGTTGCCTCGATTTCAATAGTCATTTTAGCGAATTGAGTCTCAACGTCGCAATGACCGGGAGGAAGCCGAAGGTCTGGCCAGAATATTTCAGGGAAATTTAGATCTCCATCAGTAAGAAATGAGGACGGCTCATGTGCTTCTGTACATGTGATAGCCAATCGCAACAACGGTTTAATGGGCTACGGTAGATTACGCCCACTATTAGTTCTGCGCGTCTGAGGCGGTTTGTGCACCACGATTGCACGCATAAATCATCCTCGCTCCGACCGGTGTTGGTAAGTTTGCCAGATAGTGACGATTTTATGTACAATGTATGTTTCAATTCTACGAAAGAGTCCGCACGCAGCTTATTTAATGGCATTTGGGGTGATTGCTGTTGTAGTTTAGAATCTGGTCGGTATGTGTTCCTTTACCGTCAACCGATGTTTGCAACTCTCCGTCAATCGTCCTGGTGACTAACATATCCGAAAATGGGAGCTGGTCTTCTATCTCCGATTCCATTGTGGCCGTGTTAGGATCAAAGAGTGGTTCCATGCAGTCAGTGTGGAGCGGACTACGGTCCAGCCACCGCCTTGTGTGCGCTTGATTCCCAAATACAGTGTGCTTGTGTTTGCCTGTGAAGGAGTGTGGGCCGGCTCCGTTGATGAAACGTGGTTCCCATCCACATGCCTCCCGGTCTTATTCCTTCGGGTTTACACTGGATATGGGGTGTGTGGTTGGAGCTGTGGGTGGTGCAGTGCAGGCCATCCATGGTCCCTCTGTAGGCGCTGGCGTCCTGTGAGTGAGCACCGAGCTCGAGTCTTGCAGGCGGGTCTCCGATAAGCATCAGATATCGATCGAGAAGGTCTCCAATGTTCGGGCATGTGCTGCCTGTTGACCGATCTGAAGCAATGTGCGAACAATGGAGGCATGCCAATCGGAAGGAGGATCGAGGGCTCCAAATGGAAGTCGATGAACTGGAATGGACCGCTTGTTTGGACATGGGCCTGTTGACAGGGCAGTAATGACGCTCCGAGTTCGCATGTGAGTTGAAACTAAAAGACAAACGACTACTGAAGCAAGGTGGGGGAGGGCCGAGAATTGGGGGGTTGAAAACAGGGATGATCACACACCGCGTGAGTGTGAAAGCCGGGCGCTTTCAAGAGAAGCTAACCAACAGCAGTTAGGTATTAGGTCCGTTCTCACGATTGTCTCAATGATCAACGGTTGAGCAATATGAGGGGAGAAGCGTGAAGTGCACCAGCCTGATTCCATTGAGAGGAAAATAGCGAAATAGAGATGTAGTTCAGGAGTAGATTGGAAAGGTGTACACAGTGTGGCTCGCTTTGCATGGCTACCGTACACCTAAACAGCTGCATGATGGTATTCGGCCCGTAGCCCTAAGGATCGCGGGGTCGAGTCTGCGAACGGACCAGACGACCCTCGTAGTATCAGTAGCCTACGTAAGACTAACCGTGGTTAGGTGGTAGCGAAGCGTCGGAACTGAGTGCCAGCGTTCTGCTGATCCCTCTTTGGTGGTAACTGTAAATTTAGATGTAAAAGGAACTGACGCTGGGTAGATGGAGAGAAGGACGGACACGCGCCACTCACCTGAGCTGACTAGGATTCTGCGTGTCGGAAAGATGATGCACAATTGGTGTATCCTAGCATGAACGAGGTGCAACGTGGCCACGGGCTAGGTAGGTATGGACTGGACCGACCAACAGCGAACTAACAGCGCATTCGGTCGCGCTTGTGCGTGTGTGTGCTTTAAGGTATCATTTCATCGGTCTCATTGGCTGTTTGGGGCCGTTGTTTCTAATCGCGGAGCACAGTTCTCTCGCTGCGTGCGTCCGACCGGTTCCCACTTTGTTCCATCCTTATTGGCTATGATCATTCGCTTGTTCTCAGTGTTATGGCAGGTTTCGATAGCTACGCATCTATTAGTTCCCTTGTCATATAAACGGCGCTGTTTCAATACGTAAATGGTACTGTTTCTGATCGTTCGTAACCGTGGGGCTCCTAGAAGAGCAAGACAACAGAACCATTGGGTGTTCCAGTTAGGGAGCAGGAAGCCGTGTACATCGGTACTGTGTCCGTGGCTAGTGGGCCACTAGTGCGATGATCGGTCGTGGCAGTCACTGAGTGCAAACAAGGAACAATACAGTGAACTGCACTAGCCTTATGAGACGGATTTGGTATCTACACGGAGGGTAATAGAAGTTTAGTTGAGCGGCGGGGCGATTGGAACATTTAGCACTAGGGTAAAGCGCGAAACTGCAGCCAAAATGAAACGAATCAATTGCGGTGACATCGGAACAAGACGCCCAAATGTGATTGAAGAACATACTTTTACCACATGCATGTCCACTCCATAGTCCGGAATGTGGCGGGCTTTTTCCAAATACAGCGCTTCCGCATCAGAGGGGAGAAGATTTCGACCTCTGAAGGAAATGGGAAGAAGGAAAGAAATTCGAGTTTGGTTACTCGATAAGAACGATAAGTGATATAAATAAGATTGAAGTGTGAGGGTGCGGTGGACTCGAAAACGGTACAAATGGATGCATGAAAGGTAAACACCACATACTAACACATTGTCATTGTGCGTATGTGTGCGGAGTAGTATGCAACCTCAGAGGGTCAAGTTTTCCAAGAGATCGAGTCATTCTGCATGGAAAGCCGTGTCGGAGTCACAACACAAGCATAGAGATGGTGAACGCCTATGCGACATGAGCAATACCGTACTCAGCGCTCGGGCGGCGTGTCATTGCGTATGTCGGCACCGCTTAATGATTTCGACGGGACCGTAGTCAATAAAGGTAGACCGCGTAAAATGACGGAGCGCCGGATGAAGACCATCCGAGCACTGTCTTCTCAGGAGCGCTGTAATATCAGGAGGCACCAAGTGAGAGGTACAAGGGGCGGAAAAGGTGGCCATTGTCTAAACGAAGCAGTCAATGTGGTGAACAAGCCAAATGATATCAGGCTGCCGATGTGAGTATTCGGTAGGTGGCGGCTTGTGTTAGAAGTGACACCGAGCACTAATGCGGCACCGGAGAAATCTACATAATGCATATTTATTCTAACCCGAAGTACAATAGGCATTGATGATCAGGATCGACCGCTTTCGCCTAACGTCTGCTAAATTCATAAACGTCTGCGCGCCAGGAGAGCAACTTGTAAGAAAGTTTACATCGAAATATCAATTATCATGGTTATATGTAGTAAGTCCACTGATGCAATCTGATGTAGGTGACTGTGGATTAAATTCGAGAAGGATTCTAGGGAAATACCTGTAGAATGAAGTATAAGTGGAAGGCTTACCTACACCTTGAGAGATATATGGCTGTTTGAATACGGTGTAACTATTTAGAGCTTTTCGAATCTCGTTAAAGCTTACTTAGTGTTGAGGTGCATTTGAAGTAAACGGTTGTGCCAAACACACGCGGTAATGCTGCTCTGCGTCCTGTCTACTAATGACAACCCCATGCTTCACCGACTCCACAAGCGATCAAGAAGTTGAAAGGGAGAAGCACCTTATCGATAGGTCGACGAATAAGGGGCAATGCACGGCAGACAGAACCGGTTTTTTTTAATCTTCGGCTCAGCTCGATACAGAGGGCAGCTGGGGGAATAGGTTGGGTCGAGCAATATCATGAATGGTAAGTTCCATCGGGAATGTGAAATGCAATAGGTCCAACGTAGCATGTTATCCGAAAGCAGTGTATATCAAACTTCCTAGGCAGTCCATGGGTTTGTGCAATAAATGAATCCTAAGACAAGAAGCATCAAACTTTACAATTTCTAGGTGATTTCGATCGAAAGCATTATCGAATCCAGCAAGGTTTCAATGTTTATCGGAGTAGGGAACCAGCGACTAAAGAAAAATAACTTCCGAGGCGGTGCGATAAGCCAAGATGGGTATGGGTCTAGAAGAAAATCTTCGTTTCTGAAACAGCTGCAAAAACAGCAATTCAAGAACAGTTTAAATAAACTGCAATTAGATAGAGACACCAATAGAGGCCACTGGAGCTTTTTGGCAGGTGTTAGAAGCTTTACTCGGGTGTTATTGGTCCGATTTGCTAACTTACCAAGGCGTGATCAACATACTCTACTGAGTGTATGTGAGCAACAGTGAAATATTTGCACAACAGGACGGGCAGTGAGGGGTGAACGCGGTAAACTTTCGAGGCGAGTGTGAGAGCGCCGGCACGGGAAATTTTTCAGTCGGGATCCACATGACATTTTGGCAATCGAAAGGAGTGAGGTGCAGTGACTACTGACAAAGTGAAGCGCATTATTCCGCATGAACAGCTGACTTCATGTGCAGGATGGCGGCAACGGAGGTGATTGAGAAATCTGAGCAGAATCTGGTCAGATTCAGGACAAAGAATCAAATACCGGTTAGGAGAGGAACAACTTAGGTGCCGTATGTAATGCGCCGTCATGGATGATGCGTGCATCTGTGGTCAGAAAGGACAAATTAACTAGACAGGATGCTAAGAATATGGCGTCGTGTATTCTTGGCAGAAAGCAATGGGGTAGCGGGCGCCCAGACGACTGAATGAATCCGGTTTCCATCTAGGTATAGCGGTTTTGAGTTAAATCGAGCACCGGGTCCCTATGCTAGGCAATCCAATGCAAACAGTTGATAGAAAGACGAGGATGATTTACCTGCGAATAGGTTTAGGTCGCTTGATGCATGGAGTAAATAAAGAAAAGGGAAAAGCAGTGGAATGATGATCCAAAGCGCGGAAAGTACTCGACCGGTCAAATGATTCACCGTCAACGGTAAAAGGGATTAATAAATGCGCTGTGACAAAGTGCCAAGTTTCAAAGGTGGCGACTAAGCAAACGCTACCGGTAAGTGAGCACAGTTAATTATTGATGAGTTGGTTAGCGCTCAAATGACTCCAGGTGAAAGACAAAACACTGTATCGGCAATATGCACCTGCATCGCGGCCTACACAGTGTCACTCATTCCGAGTTGGTCTGTGTGTGTGTGGGCGGACTGGACTTCTCCACACAAACTTCACAGAACAAAGTGGGGACCGAATGTCGTTGTGACGTTGTGTTTTCCAAACTAAATGCCCACGCTCTAGCGCCACCGTCTTTATAGTTTACCCAAACTGATGTTACGCCCGAGCGAGGAGTGGTGTCTAATCGAGTGCTAACCGGGTGAACCTTCTGATGCCTGGCCCAGTGTGCGTGCCCATTCGCATGTTTCATCGGCATGTGCGCGTATGTGATAACAGTAAACAAGACGACAGGGAAGGCTAAAGGATCATAACTCCGGTCGATCTTCTCTCTCGCTGCACTATCGGCTAGGTTGGAGTTGATGATCTGGGCTTAGGCCAGGGACAGTGTGTCTACCGGAACAGCCGTGCCAGCGCGCCTCATATGCAGTTGTTGAATGACGTAGGCTTCCACTGAAGCTAAGCATTTGCAGTGGTGTAACCAACAAGGACTGCCGCGTTGTTAATACATTTTCTGGTGCGATCCGGGTAATAAATATGCAGTGGAAAGGGAAAATGAGCCCCGCGCAATTATGCCAAGTAACCTTGTGGATGACGAACTAACAAAACAAGAGAAACAAAAAAGATGCAGACAAAGATGTCAGCCAAAAACTAATAAAGGAACAGATGGAAGAGAGAAAAAGAAGTGACAACACCGGTGGACCTGGCGACGTCGTCAGTTGAGACTGATTCCATTCATTCCACCAACAATACACATAAGCTTAGGGTGAGAAACACACTTCAGCTAATGTACCGAAATACTAAAAAATAAGCTACAAAAAAGCGCAATATGCAAGTGATATAATGTTAAATGTCATTTTACCCATTTGGAGTGGGATCATAATTGGAGAGAAAAGATTAAGGGGAGTGGTATAGACAAAGAAACTCACAACACTAACGTCATATTAGCAAGAGTATCCAACCAAGCATGTTTATCGTCCTCGGGACCCCAGCCCACCACTCGGGACGCAGCTACCGAGACCAAGTTCGAAATGTCGGACTTCATTCATCTTGACCAAATCATCGCTTGGCCTCCCCTCCTCTTCTGCCATTCTCGCACCTGGTGCGCAAACAACGCACGACGCCGCAGTCAGTGTGCTGGCATGCGCAACGAGTGGCCCAACCATCCGAGCCTGGTGCGGGATATAGTGGTACCCAGAGGTGCACTCGTTTTTCTTGAATCAAATACACGACGCCGAACACGCTCACTGTTCATGCAGCGCTCCCACCAGACATGAGCTAAGCTGCGAAGGCAGCGATGGTCGAACGTAGCTAGCCTCTTTATGCTTATGGACTTAACGGTCCAGGTTTCACAACCGTATAGGAGGGTTGAACGGACCGCCGCATTGTAAACTCGGCCCTTCAGATGGCGGAGATGAGCAAAAACACCTCGTACTTTTGCTATAACGTTCATGATCTTATCTACTATTCTACAGGCGCTAATATAGTTGCCCAAATGCTTGAATTCCGGAACGACTTCTAACTGATCACCACCAAGGATCAGCGAAGGAGTGGATCCCTGCCAATCTTGGAGAAGAACTTTGTATTTCGACGGGCAAAGCTCGGGGCGCTTTTGCTAACCTTCGCCACTTATGGCGGCGGCGCGACATCATACTTGCCCTGAAGGGTACAATGCAGCGGTACGTTTGACCTTACTGTACGGTTGTGAAACCTGTCCATTTAAAGCAACGGACCTGAAGAGGCTAGTTACGTTCGACCACCGGTGCCTTCGCAGCTTAGCTCACATCTGGTGGGAACACCGCGTAAGCAACGAGCGTGTTCGACGCCTTGTTTAAGGCACAGAAAAAGGAAATGAACCGCTCAGCACCGTCATTTCATGCACCAGGCCCGAATGGCTCGGCCACGTGTTACGCATGCCAGTCCACCGACTCCCGCGACGTGCGTTGTTTGCGCGCCGGGGGTGTGGATGGAAGAAGAGGAGGGGTAGCCAAGCGATGACCTGGTCGAGAGGAATGAAGGCCCTCACTTCTGAGCTGGCCTCGGTTGGAGCGTCTCGGCTCCCTGGTTGGGGTCCGAAAGACGATGAACACGTTTGATTGGACACACTTGCTGATATGGCAAGGAGCCGACCTCAGTGGCGTTCGTGCTGTGAGTTTCTTTGTCCCACCCCATCCCTCTTAGCCTCCCCCTCCAACCACGATCTCATTATTTAGCCCCACATAATCTTGCATAGTAATTTTTTGATGCACAGTAGGCGGCTGGTAGCTTACCGGAACGATGCCCATCCGTTACCGGTAGCTCAGCCGGCTTGCACCAGTTGCATTTTTTTCTCTTTTTTTCTATGTATTGCGGCACAGTAGCTGAGGTATTCCCCACCTCTAGCTAACATGTATGATGATGATTTCGACGGACCAAAGCAAAGCCCAAAAAGATTGACAGCCAGCGCTAATCTGTCCAGTGCTACGTCG